GCACACTTACCCAAAGCGAAAGCCTGTGTCCATTGCAAAGTTTGAACATGCATAGTTAATGATAGATTCATTTGTAATAACCACAAGGTGGGAGCAACTGAGATGACATCTACCGGTGGGGCAATTCAGTAAGAGTTTGGTGTGTTCTGTGCTATGGACACAGATCACAGTGACAGAAACCAGACAGAAAATAAAAATGATTGTAGAAAACCTGTTTTTTTTTGAAGTATAGGATCAGTGGTCGGCTGGGTGAGTGAGGTGATAAAGAGAGGGCAGGAGGCACAGATTCTGTGAGGGTTTGTGGAAATGTGTGGAGCAATATTGTGTTTGTGGGTATAGAGTCAACACTTGCCAAGTGGTACACTTTGTGCATTAGTTGGATTCATGTGCTCTAACAGCATCTGGGGTTGGTGCTTTAGAAAGGTCTGCCCTATAGTTCTGGCAGTCAGGAATATGGGACTCCTCATGAAGGTCCTGTTCCTGATCCTCGCCCACCAGAGAGTGGTTAGTTATGGTCAGAACATACCAGGCTAATGGTGCGTTTTTACAATGACTTTCTGTAAGAACAAGGATGTACTTCCCATGAATTAGTCCTTCACATTGCTCTCTAGAATCTAATCATCTTCCGGGAGGCCCTGGCTTTTAAAGATTCCACCATTTCAAAATTGCTACACTGGCTACCAGGCTTCCCAGTCTTGGGCATGTGGGGAGGTACACTCAAACCGAAACTGAGCCAAGCTCAGGGGGGCTATTAAGATGAACTTTTATTTTTGTATACAAAAAATTTTTGTATATTGTGGTTTTCTTCATTTTATACTAACAATTAAAATTTAACTCTAAGGATGAAGCTGGGGACTTGAATGATGAAGAGCAATGTGATGCATTACAAAGCTTGCTGTGGGAATTTCTCATTGTAAAATTGCAGACATGGGGCTGGAGATGGCTCAGTGGCTAAGAGCACTTGGTACCCTGTTAGAGGAGCCACGTTTCATTCCCAGCATCCACGTGTTGGCCTCACAACCACTTGTAACTGAAGTTCTTAGGGACCCATGTCCTTTTTTGGTCTCTGAGGATTCCTGCATATATGTGGTACACATATACAGGCTCACATGCATGCTCATAAATAAGAAAAATTGCAGATATGTGGAATGAGTATGAGAAGTTTTAGGAAATTGAATTTATTTTGCCCAAAGGTATCTCAACAAATTAGTAAGTGTAGTATTTTCTGGCTTCCGATTTGACTTTTCTTTCTTTTTTTTTCTTTCAGATTTGCATTAAAAAATGAACTATTTTACTAATTTTAAAATTTAAACATTTGAAAAATGTTGTATATAACTGTTTTGTCTGCATGTTTGTCTATGTACCATATGTGTGCCTGTTCCCATGGAGGCTGGTACCAATGGAGGCCAGAAGAGGGTATTGGATTCCTTAGAACTGGAGTTACGGATGGTTATGAGCCACCATATGGGTGATGGGTATTGAACCTGGGTTCTCTGAAAGAGCAGCAAATGCTCTTAACTGCTGAGCCATCTTTACAGCCCTGACCTGGCATTTCTGAACCTGAAGTTTATTGTAGACCAAGAGCCCTTGTTGAAGGATTGGGTGCCGCCCCATGTTGCTACAATAGGCTTTTAACAGATGCAGGTAGTTTCTTAAAAAACAAACAAACAAACAAACAAACAAAAAACAAAACAACCTTTTCTGAAAGGGCATATGCCATCTAATTGCATTAAAACTGTTTCCTCTAAGTTGAGTATGATCCTTGACACATGGCATCTTTATAATACAGGTTATTTAAATTGCTGTTTCTCTGTTTCCCACCATACCTAAAATTACATATTAACATTAGGTGTGTCTCAAGGATGTAATAATTTATATAATAGGAATTACTGCCCTATCTCATATATCTGGAAGGCCTTAAAGAAAATAATGTTGAACACCCAAAAAAGGGACCAGAGACCACACACAAAAGCTTATGGGCTGGACCCGACAGCACAGCTTTGATCCAGGCCCATTTCTTCTTTTCAGATACAGTTCCTGAAAAATTGTGTCTCGAAACCTTCACTCAGAGCAGGTCAGGGGTGGGTATACTGTGGATAGACACATGTAGATTGCTAGTAATGAAAACCAGGAGTTGATCCACCTCAGTGGAGTGAGAGGAAAAGAAACGGGAAAGGAAAAGGCAGAGAGTGGTGAGCCTAGCATGCTAGGAGCTAACAGTCCTGCAAATTAGTTGCTTCTGGGGAAGATGGTTAATAAAAGCAGAAAAGCATGAAGTACTTGTTCCTGGAGGCATTGGTCCGGTTGTCAGCCATGCCTTATTTCATTTAATGTTAACAATGGCCATACTAATGTCATCAAAGCCTCAGGTGAGGAACCTGGAACCTGGCAAGGTTGCCATAGGCAAGTCTGTGATTTAGGTGTGTGCATTTAGTTCTCCCTCATTCTACATGCTTTTCCTGGTGACTGTAATTAGAGCTCATAAGTAAAGAAAAGAATAAAGTTTATTTTTCTTTTTTGAGGCAATTTCCCCTAAGTTATCTGTGTTGGCCTTGAGCTTGTGATCCCTAGTGGTTTTCCTGGTTGGCCTCCCTAGTATATGGGGTTAGAGGTGTGTTTGGCATTAACTTTTTAAGGGTCAGAACATATATAAGTATTTTAAAGCAATTTTTACTTTACCAAGTTCAAATTAGTTTTCCACTATTTGATGTGCATGAGACCCTGGGTTCCAATCCCAGCACCATTAACCAGGTGTGGTGGTGGTGGTGGTATATGCCTTTAATCCCAGCACTCAGGAGGTGGAGGCAGGGGGATCAAGAGTCATCTTAGCTACATAGAGAGTTCAAGACCACCTTGGGATACATGTGATGTGGTCTCAAAAAAAGAAAAGAAAAATATATTAAGATATTAATTTCTAACTATTTTTGATCTTGAAAAGATTAAACATGTATAATACATATGTTAAATCTAGTTTTCTGGATAAGAAACTATGAATTGATGTTATTAATTATCTTATGTACTAAAATAAATTAATGTCTTTAGGTAAGTGATACAAGAGTGTTTAGGAGTTTAACTCCTTGTCTTCCACACTGTCCTAGGAGCAGGGTGACTGCACACACATGTTAACACATGCCATAGCAGTGGGAGTTTGAATTGAACTGCAGGCACTGGTATAACTTTTCTCTGTGACTCCATTTTAAAGATTGCAGCCATCATTTTGAAGGTCAATTTTTTTTTAAATTTATTTATTAGTTCTAGTTAGGGAACAAGCTTGTTTCAAGTCCCTTCTCTCTCTCCCTCCCCTCACGCAGGGTAGGGCCCTCAACGGGGGCTCTGCAAAGTCCACCAAATCTTCCTGTGCTGGTCCTGGGCCCTTCCCCATGTGTCCAGGGCCAGAGTGTAACCCTTCACGTGGGATGGGCTCTCAAAGTCCTGAAGGTCAATTTTGAATTTTATTTTTTTTCCTATAAAAATAGATGTTGGGCTAAACACTTTGCCAATGACATACTTAAAATTGTCACTTTCTGAATATACTTATTTTCATTGCCATTTATTATGGCATAACATGACCAGAAGGGAAATGGCTCTGTGAGCCTTTTCTTTCCTACTTGGAATAGTTTGCTAGAACTCCTATGATGTGGTTTTCAGGGTTCCAGGTAGTCTGCCTTGATACTCATATGTTCTGCAGCTTGGCAAGTGACCGCTTTCACTGCAGTGCTGTGGTCAGCAGTGCTGCCTGCTCAGGGACTCCTGTGCTTAGAAACGAGTTCATAGAAGGTCTACAAGGCATTTAGAGCAGTGCTGGGTTCGTGGGATCCAGGAAGTGTTGTTTTCCTCTAGGCTGTGTTCTGAGACTTAATGGGTTTTGTATATGAAACGCTTGGTGTGGACCTGGTTATCTGCTGAATGGTAAGCGGATGCTAGTCAGTGACTCTAATTTAAATGTTTAGTGCTGATATGTCTAAAGATCTGTGTCTTAAACATGATATGTACTCACTCATATGTGGACCTGCTTTATGGTACATAGTAGTGACCATGCTTTATCAGAGCTGTTTTTAATGATGTTGCTCAGAATGGTTTCCGCCCAGATGATGACTGAGAAGCTAATTAAAAAAAAAAAAAATGGTGCCAAGTACAAGAGTAACAGAACTGTGCTGTTTTCTGGGATTTTGTTTTTTACTTTGTTGTTGTTGTTGTTTGTTTTTGTTTGTTTTTTGTTTTTTTAAAATGGAGTGTGCTGGATGTCTCTACAATTTTGTTCAAATGACTGCAGAACCTGGAAAAGCTGTTGCTGCTATTGATGCATAACATATTGCCATTATTGCTCTTTTTATTACAAATGTCACCTAGAAATGATGAACTTATGGGGGAACAGAGAGCAGAATTGTGGCTATTAGGCTTCATTGTGGGTCTTTTAACAATGGGGAAATAATTGGTTTAAGGATATAAAACTGCAGTTGGACAAGAGGCATGGACTCTCTGAAGTCTTGAGGTCTACTGAGAGCATGATAAATATGGTTGATAACAATATGCTATATTTTAAAAGTTGTGAGATAGTATACTTTAAGTGTTCTCAAAACAAAAATGATGAATATATGTGATATAACATGTTAATTGGTTTAATTTAGCCATGCTATTGTGAACATACTGTATTCTGTATCATAATTGTGCATGACTTTATTTATGAGCTAAATAAATGAATGAAAAAAAAAGATCTGTGTCTTTGGATCTCTGTATATATGAGATCCTTGGTTCATTTACTTGGGGGAGTGAGGAAAAGTAGCTAGTTTTTATATTGGCTTTCCCCAGTAGGTACAAATCACAGATAAAAAATGTTTAAAGTAAGTATATAATTATTTTCTAATTGCCAAGTATAGTTATTTCAAATAGGTGTTGATTTTTATTATTATAAATATAGATCTTAATGAGCATCACAATTTAGTGAACTTTGAAACAACGTGTCAATGTCTAACCTGTTTTTCTTATTGCCATCTTTATAGGTTTGTGGAATCTTGCTTCTTTATTTTCCAACCTTTGTTTATTTGTCTTGATGCCCTTTGCCTTTTTCTTTCTGGAATCAGAAGGCTTTGCGGGCCTGAAGAAGGTAAGTAAATTGAGTTTGGATTAAATTTGTTAAATGATGAATTAAATATCACTCATATTAACCTAGAAGTTGGTTTAAACAAGTAGTTGAATTACTAAATAATTGTTGTTAATAATATTAATAACATTGCACAGTGCGTTGCCTGTGTACTCAGCAGAAGGTACATTTGTGGTGCATACCCTTCTGGAGGAGTGTCTCCTGTGGAACTGATAGCCTGACATAACAGCTAAAAGGCCTTCAGGAGGCCTCATCTACTTTAGAGCCTGATAGGATGTATCTAAATTACATCTTTTAAAAAATTGTGTGCATTGGTGTTTTGCCTGCAGTCGGTGTGAGGGTGTCAGGTCTTGGAGGAGTAACAGACAGTTGTGAGCTGTCATGTGGGTGCTGGGACTTGAATCCTGGTCCTCTGGAAGAGTAGTCAAGTGTAGTGCTCTTAACCACGGAGCCGTCTCTCCAGCCCCTAAAGTACTCTCGATGTGAAAGCTATTCCACATCTCATATTGTCAGGATAGTAACACATTATAAAATCAAATGCTCTACAGCAGGTAGACCCCCATAATACTGAGAATGGCTCATCCGACATGAATATGGAAGACCTGGCAGTGAACATACTGGGAAGCTTTTTAAGAACATATGAAAACATACTATGACTCTATAGGATGGGATGACTGATTCTGACTTTGAATAGAGTGTCCAGCCATAAACTTTGGAATATAATGAAAAGAGTTAAGTAAATACTTGAAAGAGTGACATAGTGTTACAACTGAGGTACCTTACACCTTTCTGATTTCACTTCTCTTCCTGTTGCAATATATGGAGTGAATGGTGCTGACCTATCTTATCAGCATCACACAGGAAGTTGTAAAGTGTATGGATTATTTTTTATTTTACATAACTTGCCTGATGCAATTTTTGGTAAGTGACACGTGTGTGTGTGTGTGTGTGTGTGTGTGTGTGTGTGTGTGTGTGTGTGTGTGTGTGTATGTATGTATGTATGTATGTATGTGTGTTTGCCTGTATTCATGCAGGTACACGTAGGTACACGTAGAGGACAGTGATCAAAATTAGGTGTCTTTCTCAGTTTCCTTTCACCATATTTTTTTGAGACTGGGCCTTTGATGAATCTAGAGCTCAATAACTTAGCTCAGATGGTTGTCCAATGAGCTCCAAGGATCTGCCTGTCTCTGCCTCCCTAGCACTGGAATTATAGACACACTACTGTACCAGCTTTTACATGAGTGCTAGGGATTTGAGCTGAGGTCCTCATACTTACATGGCAAATACTGAGCCCCATCCTTAGCCCCCTCACATAACTTTACAAAGTATAGAATGCTTCATGAATTTGTGTGCCATCCTTGCCCAGGGATATGCTGATAACTCTGCTGTTTCAGTTTTAATTGAGCTGTCAAAGGAGTGCTGTTTATGTGGGGTCTTGGGAATGAGATTGTTTAACACTTGATAGTCTGAGCGACACAGGGGAAGGGCCACTGAGAGGTCAAGTGCTTTTGTGGACTGACCTTGGTGTTACTTCAGATGTGAACACTCTGCTACTGAAAACTCTCAGCTGACTTCTTATTTAATAAATGTACTGGGATGAGGATCAGTTGTGTTTTGCTATTAAGCTTCACCTTGATAAAACTGGCTTTTTAAATGTTGGAATTATTTTCTATCTTTATGTGTTCAGATTGACAGTGAAAATTATGTAATAGGAAAGAATTACTTTGTTTTAATTTAGAAAGCTACTGTTGCTGGGTGTGGTGACATACAGCTTTAGTTCTATTACTTGAGAGGCAAGAATCAGGTGGATCTCTGAGTTTGAGGACAGCCTGGTCTACAGAGTGAGTTCCAGGATAACCAGGGCCACACAGAGAAACCCTGTCTTGAGAAAACCAACCAACCAACCAACCAACCAACCAAAAAAGAAAGCTGTTTTATTATTTATAGTTTCTTGAGGGAATTATATAAGGTCTTATCACTGATTTATAGTTAAAACTGAGGCCTGAATGTATTAAATACTATTAAATTGTCTAAAGACCCCATGTATAAAATAGCAGTGGCATGACATCTGACACTCCCAAAGGGCACTGTTCTCTCTGTAGTCCCACACTGGAAAGCACAAGGAAGCTAGCAAGAAAGAGGAGATGGCCAAAGACAGAATGTGTAAAGGGAAGACAAGAGGACCAAGAGATGCTGGCAGCAGAGGAGCTATGCTGTTAGAGGGTGTGAGGAAAGGGGAGGCATCACCTGAAGCCTGAGGCCAGAGGGCTTCTAGAATATTTGTAGAATGCACAGCCTTACAGAGTACTCCAGAGAATGGACAGCCTGATGGGGAGGCCTCTGGAGACTCTGCAGATGTCAGTGTTTGTGGAAGTTTGGAGCTAGAGTTTTTCCTAGATATTTGTCTGTTCATCAGAAATTTAGTAAGCAGCTCTAAGTATGAGTTAGTGTGCCCTTAAAGGAGCTTTCTGGGGCTGCTTATGAAGAGCTTAGACTCTGCATTCAAGGGACAGACAGTGTGTGTGTGGTGAAATCAGCAATGCACACAAATAAGCCATAGCTAACAGGAGTGGTGTCTTGATCTTGGGGCAAGCACAGAGGAGGCGGCCAGCTGGGATGGGACTGAGCCTTGAGGGTGAGCAGGACTTGTAAGAGGGACTTTCAAGGCTTCGCCTGTGGTCTTGAGTTCTGATTGAATTGATGCTAGAAGTGCTAGAAGATGGGGAGCAGTTGGGAACACAGGGAGCCTCAGGGTAAGGTCCTGGAGGCTTCAGCTCTGGCAGGTAGTTTAGATTTTATGCTGTAGAAAATAGGAAGCAGGAAAGAGGTTTTCTGGAGGGTTTCTACAACCACCATTTCATTTAAGTATAGCTATTAGTCTGCATTTCAGTGTTTCTCTTTTGTCATCAAGGAAAGGAATACCCTGGAGCACATATGTCACCCAATGCCAAGCACTGCTGGGGAGGGGGTCATGCAGGCAGCAGTGTACAGTTGTGTAAGCAGAGATGTGTAGACTCACTGAAACCACTTGCTGTATGCACAGTTCCCCCTCTTCCTAATCCTGCCTGTGTGTTAGTAATAACTAAACGCAAACAATAGGTGTAACTATTGTTTCACTGTTATTCTTGTTTGGTGTTCCAGGAATATTTGCTCAGTTCACACTCCTTATGAAGATATAGTTGTTAACTAGGTAGACCATGACTTAAAGCAGCTTGTGATTTGGATAGTCCTTACCTCTACCCTGTCAGCCAGGAAAGGGACTCAGATACAGCTTGTGAGACATAATTAACATCCTCTGAAATTAAGACCTGTTGGCAAAACCGAGAAACATCACATCTGTGCTCATCCTCTTAGACCAGTAGTTCCCAACCTTTCTAATTCTGTGACCCTTTAGTATAGTTTCTCATGTTGTGGTGAGCCCCATCCATAAGTTATTTTCCTTATTACTTCATAATTATAATTTTTCTACTGGTTATGGATCACAATATAAATATGTGTGTTTTCACATGGTCTTAGGTTACCCGTGTGAAAGGGTCATTTGGCCTTCAAAGGGTTGCAACCCTTAGGCTGAGAACTACCGTCTTAGACCTCACATCAGCAGATAGACCCAAGCGACAAGTATGACATCTCACATCTACATTTGTGCAGCTCTTGCTGTTATTAATTTTTACTTCTAAATTTTCTATGGCTAAAGAAATACTTGTCCTAAACATGTATTTAACCGTGTTTGTCCCTCAAAACCCTTCAAGGGTCACCATTGCCTTTCTTCATCTTTGATGGGACTGAAGTGTTGAATGGACTGAAGTGTTGAATGTGTGAACAAGACAGTCAGTACCATCAAATAAGCAGATTCCCAGCCACAAGGGATTTAAAAAGAGACCAGTAGGTAAAGACCAGCAGCTAGAGGCCAGGATGTAGAGGCCAAGGTGACTATCATTGATCTGACTTAGGAAGCAAGAGGATGAATAGGTGTTGTAGAAACCAATATAAATAGTTTCTTAATGCTGAGGATGGAAAGAGATGCTGTGGCTTGGAGATGGAGTGGTCTGGGAGACCTGGTTACATTGGCACAGCCAGGAGAAGGGGGCTATGAGGGTTAGGGTGAAGTCAGACTGCTGACTGAGTGAGTTCATCTGAACTATAGATTCTCTTTCTGTATGCTTGGCACAGTGGTAACATTTACTCTGCTGTATTATTTCATTTGTTTGTCTTTTGAAACAAGTTCTCCCTATGCAACCTTGGCTGGCCTGAGCTCAGAGAGATCTACCTGCCTCTAGCTTCTGAGTGTTGTGATTAAAGGCATGTGCTACCACATCTGGCTCTCCACTGTATCATTTTGATGACTGAATGAGGTAATTTATGTAAATACACACAGACTAGGACTTATTACAAATTTTTTCTTTATTTCAAAACCATTTGTACTTCCTCAGATCTGAATATTTACAAGGGAAATATCGAGGAGATGGCCCTAAGAAAATAGCAACTTATGTTTCATAGTAAGAAAATAGATAGGGCCTGGCAAGATGATTCAGTGAGCAAAGGTGCCTGCTGTCAAGACTGATGACTAGAGTTCAGTCCCCAGGACCATACGGTAGAAGGAGAGAACTGACTTCTGCAAGTTGTCCTTTGACCCTACATGTGCAGTGTCGCACAGGTGCCCCCTGACAAACAGGCAAATAGATAAATTCAATTAAAAATAAAAGAGAGATGAAAGGCCCCGAAAGGACATGGCCAGCCCTCTGGACTTAAATGTGCTGTTTTACTTAGCACAGTGATTTAATTAAGAAGTATGTAGTCTGTAAATGACTCGGCTAATGAGTGTGCTTCTCGAAAGCAGAGGCCAGCCCTGAGTAATGACACATTATCAGGTGGTCTAATATCCCAAATTATTTTCTGCACTTTGAAGTAGAGAGGGTAGAAGCAAGGCAAGTCAGTTTTAGTATTAGGAGTAACATCCTTTGACAAAAAGCCACTGGAAGGTAAGGTGTATTACAGAGCCT